TTGCCACTTGTTTCAAAATTTCAGCAGAAGTAAATTATTAGCATTAATTAAATATGACTGCTCGCCACATAAGGAGATTTAATAAAGAGAATTGTTGAAAATCAATTACAAGAGTGTTGCCATTTGTTTGGAAAATGCAGAAGAGTATTTTAATAGTATTAATTAAATATAACGAGTGCCCGCTACGGAAAGATATTTTGTAAAGTTTGTTACTCAAAATATTTCTGAAGAGAGTTGCCACCTGTTTGGAAACTTTAATACATATAAAAATAAAATAAAAGTCACAATACTTTATGAAAAATATTCTATTAAACCGAAGGATTTAATAAATATTTCCTTGGCATATTGAATTCTAGTTGACTGAACGTCGCTTTTGAGACGTAAATATGTAATAGTATGTACTTACAACAGCTAACTGCATTACAATTGTACATGTGTTAATATATAAATTTATACACAAACATATTTATATATATTACATATCCCACATCCACCAACACTTTGCGTACAATATGGTGGATTGCAGGGCGTATTTGTTGTTCAGCACACAGGAAATAGTTACTCGAATAACAACGCCTCCACCAAACAAGTACAAGTCCACCAATTTCCGTTCTAAGCATCATATCCGGTTAGCCTTTCATGCTGTGAGAATTCACGCTGTCAACCCACAATTCAATGTTGTTGTTCTAATTAAATAACATACCTACATAGATAATGTGTTGGTGGCAACAGCAACAAAAGGCAAGCTGCGAACAACAACAACTAACGGCACATAATGGAAACTCGTGTGCACCCAACCGCACACATGTACGCTCTCACCTAACTGGCGTAATGTTTTGCGGCTGGCAGCGACTGCGAGCGACTGGCTCAAATGACAGTTAATTAAATTAGCTCTTGTGTTGCTTGCACTTTTTAATTAGAATGGACGGCTGGTGGTTGCACCGTTCGACTGCAACTGTTTACCACTGGCGCCTACTGACAGCGTACACCGCTGCGTGACTGCCGCTAAAAAGTAAGGTTATCTTTTTTTTTTAATATTGCTTGCTAGCTAAGTTGCAGCCAATTAGCAAAGTTTCAATTGAATTGAAATTTAAATCAGTATTGTAAAATGTTGCATTCAGCGGAAGCTTTATGTAAATCAGGTTAGAGCGGAATTTCTAATTACTTGGCTTGAAAAATCTTTACGTGCTTTGGACGTGGCTGGAAATCATAATTCTTATTAGGATTTCTTTCTTATCTTTTTGTTTGCTAACTAAAATGTTCATGTGGTCTTTCAGTGCAAACAAGAGTAGCAATGTGAGTGCATGGTTGAGATGTAGCTGAGGCAGATAGTAATATATTACCATATAACCTTATTCGATCTTAATCACCTGTGGATTTTAGTTTATGATTTTATAAAAATTAAAATCATAGTAATTTAAAATGAGTAAAAGTGAAACAGAGTACAGAAAAGCCTACAAAATTTGTCCCGGACTAAATCGATAATATTTTTTTTTTTTTGATATTTTGAAATAACCATTTTATGTTCGTGTGAAGTTTGATCTAGATATATTAGTTAGTGTGTGAGGGGCAGCTGTTGGTTACATCGTGAAGAGTTCCTCTAGCTATCTTTACCAAGGGAAAATATTGGGCAACGAGTTTGCTTTAATTTTTTTTTTCCAATGAAATCACGGCTACGAATTCGTTGCAGATGTTGCAGAAGTATCTTGGGCGTATAATTTATCGCAAACACATTCATAACGATAAAATCGAAGAAATTAAAGAAGCAGTGCTTTAAAACCATAGTGTTGGCATCAGAGAGATAGCAGAATATCTTAACAACTATTATGGATCGCCTCAGCACATTTTGGTTATAAAACGTGTGAATGCTACACTCGTATCAAAATATCTGAATCTTTTTCAAAAATTACTTCAAGTAGAGGTTGCAAAATAGATGCTAGACAACGTAGTTGAGAATATGACATTCATCAGAAGCATCATCACTGGTGATGAGACGTGGGTTTATGAATACGATATCGAAACTGCCAAACAATTTAGGGAATTGCGCTCCAAAAATTAGCCGATGCTTAAAAAAACCAAATTCGTTGATGCCATTCCATTCCCATGAAGGCCATTCCAGTCGAGGCGTATAGCAAGTGTAGGGAAAATTCGAATTAAATGGCGATAGTACTAAACATTATTTTTCGTAAAAAAAAGTGGAAACGAAAATTTTCACGCAAAAAACCCGAATAGTAATACTGCTGATATACTGGAGTTTAAGAGGAGGATAGTTGGAGTGACCAATGCCATATATCATTACCATATAAGGTTTTAGTAATTTAATACCATCAAGTTAGCATTGTTGTTACCCTACATACAATGTATACTCAAAATTCGTTTCACTCATTAATTAACAGTGTTTATAAATACTATAAGTTTAGTAGCACAAACAAACCGCTAAAACTAAATAAGTGTCCCTCCATCATTTCATCCATCAAATCAACTTCGTAACAATTTTAACTAAAACCATTAATAGTTCAATAACAGCGATTTTCTCATTTTATCTTAATGATTTCATCAGTGAAATTATAAAACTTAACCAATTTGCCGTTGTTGCTACTTATAAGTACTTAACTATATATAGATTTGTATGAGTTTCTACCCGAACAGATTCCAACTAAGCGCACCTTAAAAACACTTAAAATATACGCGTCTAATTACAAGCAAATGCCATTCACCGTCTCTTCACAAAACTCCGAGGAGAATTCGAAACGTTGCTAAGTAACAAATTAACCTCGCTTAGAGCCGTGGTTCGCTGCACTTTAACTTCTTGGCGAAAACTTTTAGGCACAGTGAATCGAAAGTGATGTTTAGCAGTTAAAAAATTAATATTGGTCCCGTCAGTGGTTTTTGATTTAATTTGGAATTATTTTTGTATGAATAAAATTGTGCGTTAAGCCAAAAATTGTAGCGGAAATAAATAAAAAGCTTTAAAATGTGCGATTTAAGAAAAACGAACCGTCTTAGAGTTTATACAATTTTCAGAGTACCAAATCGAACAAGCTACTGCGAGTAGAGTTCAAATATAATAAGTGGGTAATCCATAACGGGTACGACATGTTAGCCTTATTATATAATATATGCTCTTATTCGTTGTTTATAGCAGAATAGTTGTTTATAGATACGAAGTATCTTGCGTAGCATAACATAGGATTAATTTGGAACGTCAACAGTGTCATTACAGATACTCGTTAGGTTATGTTAGGCTAAGTCTTAATAATGCTGATCCTTACGATATAGATCGCACATCGAGAATTTTAGATTGGTTCTTTATGATACATAAAACTTCTAGAGATGAATAAAAATCCCTATATAACGACGAAATGCCTTCAGCCATCAAAAACCAGAAAATTAATTTCGATTCAAAGCGCATGGTTGACTGAGGGTATGATATCCAAGTTGGTAGTCTTTCGAACGCTCGACACCCTAGAAGAAAGTCCCGAGCTGTATTAATATTTTGTTTGTAATTACAAACTACAAAGAATCACACTTTGTCTTCCAGTTGCACATTGCACAAAAATGTCTATGACGACCATGACGACTGAGTTGTGAAAGCGCGCTACCGTTAACCAGCAGACTCTTCTAATGGTTCGTTTGCGAAACGATGAAACTTTTTCACTTTTGATAGCAGCTAAACATTATCCCATACATATGTATATGTACATACGAGTTAAAGTGCAAAGGGCGCTTTACTTTTTATGCGGTTGAATTGCAGGCACACATACATACTTACTACATCTACGAAGATATTTAGAAGTCAATTGGTTGAATATTGGTACACTGGTTTTGGCAGCAGCTACACCGGCAGCATGACTTCAAAGTCCTCAAGGTGAATTAGCATTCCACGAACGAAACAACTGCCACTCAAACACTGAGGAAACAACTTAAATCAGCTGCAGCTTTTGCTTTGTATTCAACACTTTTTTCATTGCTTCACCTTCAACTAGAAGCGTATCCTTTCGATTTGTCCGAAAACGAGCATTGTTTTAGTCATAAAGCAATCTTCCACGCCCATTCGCCTCACATGTTCAATTTGCTCAGTCAAATTTCCTCTACAGTTCATCAAGGTAATCATCGTCATTATAAACATTCGGGAGGTTCATTACTCAGTGCGTATGTGTTCCGGTAAAGTCAAAGGTGAAACTTTTCCAAAACAAAACTTTGGCAATGTGCTGATGTGCGATTTCAACACGTAACAGCGACCGAGTGAGTCCGGAGGCAGCTTCCTCCAGAGTTAGATGTATTACGTATGTATGTATCTTACATATAATATATTTATTTGGCAAATCAGCAATTGCGTGTCGTGTGGAGACGCGAAGCACTCATCTTCTCCTACGGAATTGACCTTAAAAAGTTTCCAGTTAAAATAAAGTCCAAACTTTTCACATGAATAATGATGCGAACATGTTTTATTTGTCTACTTTTGTGTTTCGTTCTTTCTTTATTTTTATACCCTGAGCAAGGTATAATATATTTTGCCACGAAGTTTGTAACACTCAGAAGAAAACGTCCGAGAACGTATAAAATATACATAAAAATGCTTAGTGGGACGAGCTGAGTTCATTTAGCCATATCTGTCTGTTTGTATGTACGTGAAAGTATCCTCCAGTTTTTGAGAAATCGATATGAAAATTCACACGTCTTTTTGTCCCCAAGCAGCTGCTCATTTCTTGGAATCGCCGATATCCAGCATCTATAACATATAGCAGTCATACAAACTGACCGACCGAAATAAAACTTTGTATAGAAACGTTTTTATTTGTGAGGGGTATTATAGCTTCAGTGCAACCAAATCTGACGTGTTTTTCTGTTTTGTGTGAAATTCGCAAGTTGATGATGATTTGTGAAGTTAAATCTATCAATATAAAGAGGTTTCTGGTCTCTAACATTTAATATTTCGCGTTTTTTTGAAAAGCGCTGTTTAGAAATAAACAAAAGATTTAACTCCAAAAACAACAAAATTCTTTGCAAGCAATGAAATTATTTATTTAGACTCTCTTTAAAAAAGCTAACAATTGTTAAATTTCTTTTTCATATTTCTCTTAGTTACAAATTTGATTTTTCTCTTGCCTCATGAAAAATGATTAAATTTTAATATCAGTTTTGATCAATGCTGTCACTTTTTCACTTCTCTGCTTCTCTAGCTTTTTTATTCGTCACCATTTGCTCTTTAACAAAGCTGCCCAACAAATCGGCGCCTTCTTGATTACTCTTCTTGTAGTAAGGCAAGAGCGACATACGCTTCAACCAAGCAGCCAACTGTGGGAATTTCTCTTCATCGATTGGTGCAAAAAGCACTGCGCTGGAGACCGAAGCGACTGCACACAAATCGGCGATAGTCAAATGCTCACCACACAAATACGGTGCATTGGTAAGACACTTCTCCAAGCCATCGTAGGCCAATTGCATATATGTGATTTTCTCTTCTCCAATTTTGTCTGCACCAAAGTAGATAATCGGTTCGACCATAAGACGAGCGCGTGGAAATAAATGACCGGCATCGTAGTAGAGACGCGCATCTACTTCTCTACGCTTCAGGGGATCTTTTGGATAGAGTGTCTCATCTGGTGAGTATTTGTCCACAAGATATGCGCTAATTACATGCGAATCTGTCACGACAGTGCCGTTATCATCCAGTACCGGTATGGTGTGCTGAGGATTGAGCTTAAGGAACTCAGGCGTTAGGTGTTCGCGCTGTTTGAGGTTTGTAGGACTGGAGATAAGGAAAGTTTGTGTGAGAGAGCAGAAAAAATTATTAATTATATATTAGCATTTAAATATCAGAAAGACAGTTGTAATTAGTGCTTCGATATACGATGTACGTATACGACAAACAAAAAAGTCAAAGTTAACTGTATCCAAAGTAAACAATATGTCTTTATATTATATAAACTGTAGATCTAAATACAAAAAACTATAATATTTTTAATTTAACTTTTGAATTTTACTTTCACACACTTTACATTCAGAATGATAAGCATTACGACGCTTACCGCAAATCTAATTCCAGTCCAATAGCGGCGGCTGTCAACAGCACGGCGCGGCTTGGAGGGCTGCGTGCCGAATAGTAGAGAACTGGTTTTGCTGACATCGTGATCAAGACTAGACACATTTTTAACGTCGAGTGTTGATGAAAGAAACAAAATTTATAATATAATTACAATTATAATACTTATCTGCTTATATCTGTATATAGTAAAAATAAAACAAAACAAACAATTTTCTAATTACACCTAAAATAATTCACTTAATAACTATGATGTGCCACCAAAACAAGATTATCTATACACTATGTTTCTCTATATTTTAGCACTTCACTGTGCTTTCTATCAAGTTTTAGAATATAATATTTCACCGGCTTTCGAATTATATGGCATTCGAACGCAGAGAATTACATTCGAAGTAAAGAAATACAAAAACGCATAAAAACAATGCACATTATAATTAAATCAAATAGTTCGTACACTACTAACGCTGAACACTCCTGATCGCTTTGCTGCTCACTCTTCAACTGAGCGTTACATTACTCAAACCAGTACTTTTCGATCGTTTTTGTAAAAACTAAAAAACAATTCATAAATGATTAGCCTTGCCTTCTTTTTTTTAATTACGTCATTCAGTAAGAGAGGTGAGAGAATTAATTGCGTTGCTCTTGAATAGTGTTGCCATTGTGTTCGCAAATTGTTTAAAATACTAAAATCATATCTCTTCTTGGTATTTTTAGCATATATATATTCGTTTTAACATTTACTTTTTGAAAGCTTTGAATTTTTCGCAAGGCTTGTAAATTTCATCAAAATTTTTCATTATTAAATGATTCCTTTTTATTTATATTATGTTATTCTGCACATAAAAATGTCATCTAGGAAGAAAACTAAGCAATTTATATGCGATATATCAAGGTATAGACAGGTATAGGACAAATCTCCTTAAAAAAAATATATAAGAATAAAAATATCTGTTTTTCTCGTAAATCCTCTTCCATTTGTCCTTTTGTCCATTTGTCCCTTTTTGAAAGCTAAAATTACAAAAAGCATAGCAAGACTCTCTTGTGAAAAAATTTGCATTTGAACTCAATTTCATATATACCAAATGAAATTAGGATCGAAAGAGTATGAGGATACCTCATTCAAGTGCTAGTATTTAACCGCTTTTTATTACACCACTCTGTTAGATTTACCTTAGCTGTTTGTTCGATTTGCCACACTTTAAGTTGTGTTGAATCAAAGACAGGCTTAAAACGTAGGTAAATACATTTATATTCTGAAAAAAAGCACAGCTTATAAACTTGGTGGCTAAAAAAAATCATTCAAAATAGGTTGCCAGGGCTAGTGATCAGTAACTCTTTGTTTGTTCTCTTTCGCAGACTATATAAGTATGATTATAATATTTTTCTCTTTAAATAAGTCACTCAGCGACAGCAGTAATATATGCCTACAGGTTAATGCATTCTGATCTTTCATAAAAGACTAAAGTAAAATAGGTGAATTTAATTAAAACCGCTGGACTAAAGGGAGAACCTAAAAGTATGCTATCGATTATTTTGCATTGTTGTTCATGTATACACTGATTAACGGATATTATCGAAACTAGAAACAGATATTTAATTAAAATTATTGTGCTATGATTTGGAACAGATAATTTACAATTTCTCGGCTTAATTTTCCATTATGGTCTACTGAATCAGCATAGTTGTAGCTTAGATAATATTTTACTACATACATATTAGCTGGAATTAACTAAAATGTTTGAGTATGTGTGGTCGACTAGTTTTAGTGTACAGTTTTTAAAGCACTTGAAAAAGTATACTACAGGAAAAGAAATGTGTGAAAAAAAGAATTGGAGAGATTATGGAAAATATTTTCTAAAAATGTTACTTGGCTCGATCTCGTGGTTTCGTTAGTGCTGTTGTGATATAAGAAAGCAGCCACTTTATTTTTCGAAGAGAAATTTTGGTGGAAGCTCAATGATGAGTTTTCACCTTTAACAAATGGCTTGTAATTTAAGCGATAAAACTTTAAGCATCCGTGTAATCTTCGAATATTCCGAGAAATCTTACATTGTGTTTTTTGTACATGGAAAGGCATGATTTCAAAAGTGTCAACGATATCCACTAAAACTACATATGCTTATCAGCAAAAATTTTGTATTACTCATTTACCAACACAATTTCTCTCACTTTAACATTTTTCAGGCAACTTGTTCAATAAAAATTCCTTAGCATTAATTTTTTGCTTTCGTTGCCAAAGCTATCCGCTATTTGAACTTACTGCACTTTATGCTGATTACTGGTATTCTTATGACGATTGTATTCGTAATACGATTTGCCTGCGAATTGTGATCGCCGTTTCGCTGTACGCAGAATTTTCTACGTCAGTGACTTGATAGAATTCAATATCGCATCAAATGGTTCTCATATTTAATACGACATAATACTCTTGGAGCTGATAAGTTGAAATGTTGAAAACGTATTACTATTCTATAGCACACAAGTTTATGTTTGCTAAAGATTTTTGCTATGGTGTAGTTGTTTTATTACAAACATTAAAATAATATATGTATGTCAAATTCAATGGCAATCGTATTCAAACTAGTAAAAGTGGTTGTCATTTTTTGGTTGTGAATTGAAATAAGTCAAATTGTGAAATGTCATCACTATGGAAATTAATAGCTAACTGTCAATTCAATATTTTTATCATTGTTTTAAAAGTGTAAATTATCAATTCAATATTTTTATCATTGTTTTTAAAATGTTAATTTAGCGTCGTTTAACTTGGCATGATTTAAGTCATGCATTAATAGGTCTGTCACCAACTTGTAATAAACGTTGCCAATAAATATGCGTGAAAATATATTTTAAAACAAAAATATTCCTCAAATTCTTACAACGATTTAAATACACAATACTACACAGCACAAGGAAAAGATATTCAGACAAATAAAGTTTAGGCCACCACCATCTAAACGTAAACAAAATTTATTTAATTTCACTTCGCCCAACCAACTGAATGCCCACACTCTTCCATACTTTTGGGAAACTTGTTTGACTTTTCAGACTTTCGTCACAGTCGCTTATGCACCGCACCGCCGTTCCCGCTGTACCAGCAAGTATTTGTATGAGGGTGTATTCGCGAGTATTTATGTAACTGTGAATGTTTTTTCGCGCTACAATCACCACCGATTTAATTAAAATGCAAATTTGATTTATGAATTGACAATATTTCGAAAATAAAATGGTCGACGCTTTTGTGCAAAATATTGCATTTAAATGTGCTTGCCACACAAACAAATTAGCAATTAAAACATATAACTGGCAGTGAATGGGTATTGGGTAGATCGCGAACAATACCGAATTAGACAATCAATTGTGCCCCGTTAACAATTTAGTTTTAGAGTGAGAAATTATCTTTTAGATTTTATTGATATATAAAATATAACGAATTTTTCAATGGATCTTTTTCCAAAGCAGTTCGGAGTTTATTTAGTTACAGAAGACTCCATTTTTTCAATTTAAACTTTTTTCTTCTGTGTAAAATAATTGTTACTGAAAAATGCGAGTTTTTGGAACTATAGAATGTGGCGAGCATCATACTGGATGTTCCAGCACATGAACGACCACTGGATATATTAAAAAAGTGACGAAAGTACCATACTATTGGGAAATCATTGCATCGTTTTTAAAGCGGTTTGTAATGGCATAATCACCACACAGTCTCAATTTTCTATACTTTTATATTCAGAAAAAGGTTTATTAAGTTTGCCACGACGTTTGTAATACCCAGAAGAAAACATCGGTACCGACTTAGATATGTCTGTGTGACTGTATACTCGTATACGCGAACTAGTCCCTCAGTTTAAAAAAAAAAAAATCAAAGTAAAAGAAACAAAGACTAAGCCATTTAATTTAAGCGTTCAAGCTGAAAAAAAACCTTAAAAGATTTAAAACTTAACAACAACATTCTGATATAAAAAAGTTTCCAACAAATACTGGCGTTTGCATTTTTAAAAGTAAAAATAGGGAAAAGTTTTGCAGTAACTTTAAAAAGAATTAACAGGTGACAAAATTTGCATAAATATAGAAAATAAGCTAAACTTTCTTCTAACATAAAACTTCTCAAACAAATAAAACGTTTGTCAAAGTAAAAAATGAAGAAAGTGCCTGCCAGCGCTTTAGCGTAGAGCTGGTCATGCGCCATTAAAGATTTGTTGCTGTGCTTTACAATTGATCAGAGTATATTTACTTACTACATTTGTATATACATATACGTATTTTATATATTGTAGAAAAAAAAGAATAAGAAACATTTTGAAAAATCGTTGCGTTAGTATACATTATTATAAATATAGCAATATACAAAAAATGAGCTAAGAAATTCCAACAAACCCCATCAAACTTTACTACAGTGCACACTAACGCTAAGTAAATCACTCAACCTGCAGGCCTTTGGAAACCGTTAGCTAATTACTCGATTAAATTCCCTTTACAATATTGTGAATGGCAACCCAAAATGGCATAAAATGCATGTGCTCAACTTTAGTTGACCCTTTCGCGTAATCTTTTTTGGCACTGTCCTTTTCGGAATTTCTTTTTCCGCACTTATTAGTATCTAAAAATTTAAGTAACGACACAGAACTTAACTTTACCACAATTTGGTTGCTAACCCAGACTAAGCAGTAGCGGTTTTGCAAAGTTCCCTTCAATAGCGTGGAGTAGCCTCTGAGCACTACTTTGAGTATTATTTGCGAGCGACTTTGTTCAAAAAACATTTAAATTTTAAGCAGATACCTTATTTTGTTGTCGGAGCGACCTTATTCCTTGCGTTTCATTTGTTGTCAGCATTTAGTAGACATTTTTGTTACTTTTTTTTACTTTGCTTCTTCGTTGCCTCTTTTGTTTTCTCGCTTCTATTATGTACACTTACATATATATAACGGCTAACGGTGTATTTGCGTGTGCTTTTTATGTGGTTCTTCGTTGTGAATACATTTTTGTGGTTTGACAATAGTCCGTTCTTCTTGGTAATGACATTGTTCAGCTGTTAGTTGTGCTAAATTGGCTGATTGAATTTAAATAATGCATGTCTCGGAGCTGGTAAAAAGCCAATTGAAAGGAATATATAAAAGGAGAAATTAAAGAAGGTCTTTTTCAAATACTTCTTTCGGCTGTGAAATTTCGAAAGAAAGTAGAATTTATTATAAATAGTATTTGGGCATTTTATGGCATTAAATTCTACAAATATTTTGTTGTGCCAAAGCTGAAGTTTTTGTGTGAGATATACACATCTAGATATTATACCCTGAACAGGGCATATTAATTTTGTTACGAAGCTTGTAATATCCAGAAGGAAACATCGGAGACCCTATAAATTGTATATAGTAAATGATCAGCGTGACGAGCACAGTTGATTTAGCCATATACGTCTGCCTGCACGAAAAACTAGTCTTGAGATATCGATCTGAAATTCTGTCCACATTCCTTTCTTTCTAGGCTGAAGTCTGCAGACATCTTAGAACGCCAGTACCTGTAGCCAATTTGAGGTGGTTTGAGCAGATCCAATACCCTTATGACTATTATCTTCGTCAATTCGATCATTCAAGACGACGGCTTTGACTCGGCCCTGTAATTAGACATAGCAGAGCTCGACTATTTCGCCTCCAAGTAGTATATGTGGGTTAGACATCGTGAGATCCAGAAAACAGTGGCCATCATCTTTCTGGACGATGGAACGGTATTCGCCTTTTTCGGGTCAGTTTAAGTTGGTGAAGTTTTTTGTTTCGATTGAAGCGTCAAACACAGCTGTGAAGTGGTCATATCGATGCACTTATTATTTGGGGTAAACCAACGTTTCACCCATTTAAGCGATAGCTTCCTCATGCTCAATAATTTATGGCATTCTAAAAGCAAATATATTTCTTGAACATTTTGACATATACACATATTGAGCGAAGTTAGAAATTGATATTCTAAAATATAGTAATATAGTACCGTTTACTAGAAAATTATAAGTTTTATGTTGACATGAAGAGACCACGTTGATTACTCAAAACGCGGCTGTTTAAATTATGATGCCCATAACCAGATAATCTATATACATATTCTGCGATATAACGGTAATGACGCATAATGAAATGTGGCCAAATGTAAAGGGAAAACTACCAATTTCCCATTATACACACAGGACAGACATAAAATGAAATATAAGTGAAATAACTGCCGGAGGCTATCATAAAAACACACCTGCACGCACGACTGCGTGAAATAAGAAAATCGCTGAGATTTCAGTTGTGCACGCAAAAGGTCACTCATACGCAGTGGCGTTTCAGAATAATTTATACAGGCGCATTTCTAGGTAAACGCTTACATACGCACACGCACACAAATAATAATGCTCAATTAAATACACATAAATATAGAAAGCCATATACATTTTTACAAATCACTGCAGTCCCATGACATTGGCGCTGAAGGTGCCGCTTGGCCTAGGCCCATTACTACAACAAAACAGACGAAATGAATTGCTGCCTCAGAGCATTCGATAATCCACGAGTGAAAGGCGAGAAATTCGCAAAATTCATAGAAATAAATAAATAAATGCGAGGAAAAATGAAAATGACTTTTACGCTTGTTCACGCCTGACAAGGGTTTGCGCACGTTAATCCAAAGAAACCTGCAATGAGCCCTGGGTAGGGGCAAAATTTGAGCATAAGTCACAATAATAAATGCGAAATCCAATAAAGGAAAACGTCTTAGCCAAAATATAGTAAGAGTACGGTGGAATTTAGTGTCCGAAACAGTCATATTGTAGTAAGTGAAGCGAAAAGAGGTTTCGGAAGCCATCATCTCGCACATCTCTTCGTGACAGGGACCGCTGATTCTTTGCAACACCCCCATGTACTCTATTGAACCATTCAGGGTTGATTGTATTTATTGCTTTTCCTTCACCGAGTTTATATGTATGTATATATTCGTATATGTCTTCGTGCGTATTTCGTTTCAACTGAATCGAGTATTATCATTAACTACAACTACAATTACATACATTTGCAATAATATTGACTACAACAATGAAAATACACTTTAGCCGCAACATTTTCGGATATCATTGTAATTTGTTCATCTACCCAAAAAGCGACTGGCAACATTGTTGTGCATTGCTTATCGAAATAGTAGGTAGTTCGAGTAGATTGAATGAAAGCTCTTGTGGGGTATGAAGTGCCTACGGGAGATACTTAAAGCTATCAGGTTACTCGATTATTGTTTTTGTTGCTACGTAAGCCGAATAAATATGTATGGATTTGTGTTTGCAGTAACCTGAAGTCAAGTGCGTATAATTGTTATGTAGGTGGCAAATGACTGCGATTCAAACCGAAGAAGATAAGGTTGAGCGGTTGATTGATCTAGCTTTTGGTTTGAAATATAAGTCTAAAAGCGAGTTAAATTCTTCATATTAACGCATTCAACAGCAACAACAGAGACTAATCGAGAAAATATTCTCTATGAATTAAGTTGATAACTTTCAATTGGCCAGAAAGAGGACTTTCCACAGCTTCTAGAATACTTATCAAAATTTGTTTACGAAATAAAAATTAAAACTCGACATTTACTTTAAAAGCCTCTAGATGTTAAAACTTTTTTTTTTTTCTAAAAATGTTCTTTTTTATTATCTACAAGTTTTACCCTTATGCTAAACAATAAAAATAATTTTTTTTTTCGCTCCACCGTATTAGTTTAACGGTGTTATATTTTGTGGGCATGGCAATCAGCGATAGCAAGCTCGTCTGGGTGCCAAGGACACGTGTACCAATATTTTCCAGGAAGCCTGCACATATGGGTTGTCATATGGGTTGTATTGATTTTAGGTGTTACAAACAACTGTTAGGTGAACAAAACTATTATAAAAAAAATCAAGCGATTTAAAAAATAAATAAAAAATTAAAAGTTAAATTAATTGAAATACATACGAGTATATATAATATTAGTTTTTGCTTTTGGACTTCATTGGTCATACCACTAATGAATATGTCTGCAGTTGCACAATGAAGTTGTGGAAATGAAGGCATGTCACTGCAACCTAAGTGACAGTAAGACAGCAGCAGTGACATTGTTCACAAAACCATTGAACCGGAGGTGATTTGAATAACTGTCAAGCTGCTTACAGGCTACGCTAATGATATGTGTGTTGGTATGTATTATGACCAGCATCAAAATTGACCTCTTCAAAACGGGCTGTGGGCTAAAACAATTGCAAATGCGCACAGAGCAAGCTTGAGTGATAACAGTAGATCATTTCTTAATTATATAGATTTTCTTTAACTTTTTTGAAGGAAAAAATATATTAAAATTTTTTATTTTCAGTTCTAGCATTTTAACCTAGTAAGTTCGTTCAATAATCAGCTATTCGTTTGCTAACGTTGATTTAAAAATTTCTTCACTTTACATGCACTTTCCTAATTTCACACGCGTACGTATGTACATGAGCATGTATTATCCTGTTATCTCTCGAACACTCACGTGCGATAATCATTTTTTATTCAAAGCATCTCCGCCCGGCTGTCGTTTGCGTGCCGCCTTTATAACCCGACAAACCTAATACCGTTAGACGGTATTGCTCTACATGCTCATCCATTATACTCGCATGTAAGAGAAAGTGCTGATAAATTCATCTTAGTTGATGCTCCAAGTTTCCTCTATTCTTTTTTGTTCACTTCTTGTTTACGATGTCAAAGTTTCCTCGCATCGGAGTCATGAATCATCGATCAAACTGTCAAAAACGCTATGAAGAAAAGTAAATAAAAATAAAAGTTATATAACAGCAATGTAACAGTAAAGTATACAAATACATATACTAGATAAAGTTGATGCAACAGTAAAGTCGCTTATGATCTAACAGTTGTGCGTGTTGATTTCTTATGGTTCTGTCGCGCAGTTGAGGAAAATTGCATTGCGGTTCTTAGGTTAATGCTTAACAATGTTGTTGTTGTTTTTGTTGCTCTGGTTGTTATGCTTAACATTTGCTGTTGTTTCAATCGATTTCATCAGCATGTCTGCATTGTCGCATAAAAATGCAATCACTCTTTAATATTTGGGCGATAGCCCGAAGTTTAGTTCGAGCTTAAGAGTCCCGACGATTTCATACAAAAATTGTATATAAATTTTTTTTTCATTGCGACTTTTGAAAACTGGCAGATGAGGTAATAATACATTTTTTATTAAAATATACTTTATTAGAAGAAAGCAATTAACACCCACCACATAGTGTGGAAAGCGTGGAAATCATACATGCTTTTCATAAAAAGAAAAAAAATCTATTCTATAATAATTTTTAATATAAAAAAGTCCATGGAAAGCTATTATTTTGGATGTAGCCGTTGTTATAAAATTATTCAGTGCTTCCAACTGAGCTAGCATCAAGGCTGTCTCAATAATTAAACTCCCTCCTCCAAACTTGCAGTCAGGTTGCCAGTGTTGTTAGATTCCTACATTTGTGGCAGGATTCATAAATTTTGGATATTGTGTTGGATCTCGAGGCAACAATACATACGGTTTGAGTGTTGGAACCTTTTATACAACTTTATAAAAGAAGTAGTTCTCAAAACATAGGAATCTAAATCAATGTCTTAATACAGCTGATCAATTTTGACTCGAACTGATTTTTTATTAAAATACGTAAAAATGTACTTGTTTCTTTGTCAATCCAGTTCAAATTTGAACAGACTATGAACTACTGTTTTGTAGTACTGAACTCATAACTAATAATAAGCCAGTATAGTTAACCAATAGTCAAAACATCTCCGCCATTATATTATTAAGACTGTTAACCCCAATCGCATACTTTAAATAAGCATATATTTATTATTTCTGCCAGCAAAACTTAAACACAAATATATTAGTTTATATATATTAAAGCACTAGAACTTCCACCTTTTAGTAAAGCATTTAATGAAATCCATGGTAGTTATACCTTCTACTTAAGGCTAGTAAATATAATAAATCAAGAGCTTTGTTGGCACCACCTGCTACATTTTCACCAACACTAACAACAACTAACACAGGCGCACGTGTATGTTGGTATCATTAGCAAATAAAAAGCCTTTCTGCTTTGCCATCAGAGGCTAGAAGGTCTCAACCTACTGCTTGGTCACTGTAACCGCAGAGTACTCTATTGTTGTTGGTGCTTTCAGGCTTTACTGATTCTGCTGCTGTTGCTGACATGTTGGTCCAGCCGAAGAGTACACTTCAAATTGCCCTTCAATTCAATTTTCATATCCTTTTGTATATGGTTCCCTGTTGTATATACATGCATACAATTGCTTGCCTACATATATACATATATACAAGTATATGTGCTGTTGTGGTTTTATGGCCACTTGCTATTCTTTAGCTTTGTTGCGGTTTCCTTTTGTGTTTCGAGTTTTACAAGGTTTGTATCTCTAGTATATTGCTGCTTTTAACGGTTTCAATATATACCTATATTACCATATATTTTTTAATTTTATTAAAACGAAAATGTTAGACAGATATTTAGCTATGTGTTCAGTATCAGAGATTTTACTGTTATTAAATTAAATCATAAAATAATTATTTTCTTTAAAGTGATTGTAAATATCTAAACCTTTGAACGATTTCCATATTAAAATCAAATTTTTATCTCATTATTATAAAATTTACTGAAATTTTTTACATTTGACTTTTCAAATGATTTCTAGAGAACTAAATGTTGTACTTGCATACCAAATATATTTCTAATAGCGACCACCTGTGAAGTTTACATGCGCCTTATAAACATTCCAATAATCTTCTAATTACTAAGTTCTTTGCTTAATTCGTCTCCAGCAAACCAATACGTGATTAAAAAATAAAATAAAGCACGCACAGCGTGGTCATATTCAATACTTTAGAGCACTGGTCTGCAAACTTACACATGCAAATAAAAAAAAATTAGTTTTAAATTTTTAATCCCTCCCATCATAAATGTGTAGTCTCCGAAAGTCGATTTCTTATGATCTACAAAAATAAGCCAGGTTCTATGGGTTATAACAAAACCCCATATAATGATGTGTTATAACATCGATCAATCAAGTGAGTACAGAAATCCAAATAAAATGGAAAAAAGATGGCAACGGCTTAACAGCAACTGTTCAGGATTTTACAAAGCATATGACGCAAAATGAGCAAAAGTTCGAAATATTTCCATTTTAAAGAGAACGGAGAAAATACAATTTTCGAAATCAACCACCATCAAAATATTGAAGTTGTCGATAATTAGCATTATATAATACAAAATAATCGTATAATATTGCTACAAAGTGTTCGGTAATTAGAACTACAAGTATGTGGAAAAAAATCAACAAAATTTAAGAAACGTATAATTTTGATAAAAGTTCGAAATTTTACCTCAAAAAGACGACAAAGTTTACAATTATATTTTTCCTTGTAAAAATCAAAATATATTCGATTTAGTTAAAAAATTAAAACAAATTACATAATGTTGCCTCAGTTGTTGTTTGCTTATCTTTATAAATCTCACCGTCATCATTCAGAGAAAGACGAAATTAAGTGCTCTTATAAATCAAGGCGCACTTAAGTATTCTTTTTTACCGCCGGAATTTATATAATTGCCCAATTTCGCTACTTTAGCAACACTTAGCGTCAGAAAGCAATCATCATATGTCATTTAACTTTCGAGCGTTTCTAACTTCATCAAAATATTTTGCTTCTTACAAAAGATATCTCTATTAGGTCATTCCACTCTATGCTGCGCCAGTTCCTGCATTTTATCCATGCATCACAAATCACCGGCAAATTGCCCTTGCTGCCTTTATTAAATATCATTATGTTAGTCGCAGAGCGACGGTTGGTCCACTCACGCACCCGCTGGGTAAGGATCATAAATTTCTTCGTCTGTTACAAGTAGGTATTTATTTATAGCCAAAAATTTAGCTACATTCTAGCACCATAGTAATGCTTTAGAGGAGCAAACCTCCAAACACATAGTAATGCTTATTAAGTAAACCAAATTATTTGAATGTTTTGGCTTTACGTTTGGTTTCATTCAGGGCGAAACTATTTGTGCCAAAATTGCTTGTGCCTTTTCATTATATTGTTATCGGATTAAGGATTCTCTGCTTCAATTAAGTACGGAGTTTATAAGACTATAGGATATAGCTGCCATACAAACTAAAGCATGAACATCTAATAGTTTATGGAAGGCTTTTTATTTGAGAAAGCATCGTTGCAATATAGCAAATAGCTGGCATGCAGTCTGACCAATTAAATTCAAGTTTTTGTATAGAAAATTTTGTTTTAAAAGATATCTTCACGAAATTTAGCATAGATTATTATTCATACTTCGAAAATATTGTTCAGATTGGACTACTACAGCATATAGCTACCAAGAAGAATTCTCTCTATATAACAAGAAATTTTAAATATTAATATGGGTTTTTTTTAATGTAATTCGTCGCGCTGAGCAAACTGCGATCCCAAAAAAGTGCATTGTAGCAGTTTGAGTTTGGATCTTCGGATTGTCTTAACTCAACGATGCACTGTTAATTCTCCACGACGTACAAGGTTTGTTCTCTTTAACTTGCACTAAGTGTATATTTATGCCTAAACTTCGATAGTTTCCCATAAAAGAACAGCGAGAAGTTTAGTTCACCTCCGAATACTGCGTTAAGAAATATATTAAAATTTTAAAAACAATTTTTACTAAAGTTAAGCTCTCGTTGGTGAGAAGTGTACACTACCACTTCTAAGCAAAATAGCTTTTTCTAATACTCCCGCCCCACGTCTGACAATCGAGTATAGTTATGGCGTTTCAGAAAATATATTCACTGTCCGTAACCCCTACCATTTATTTGCTTTATAATCAAAATGAAAACTAGGTGGAAAAGCTAGGTCATAAGTGTTAACTGTAGTAGAGATATAGCAGCAACCAAAATAATATGTACTGATGGTTTTCATTCAATTCCGAGTCTCCTGAACTAACAATATAATATAATGATGGTGAGGAATCTCTCATAAGGTAATACTGAATATGCTTTTCGTAGCGGTTCTTAAGTTTCTCCGAAAGCTTAGCCTACAAAACCATCTAAATTAAGTACGGCTCTAAGGCTACTTTAGGTAAATAATGTTATATAATACAACCAAAAATTAGAGTTAATAAACTCTTTGTAAATGAGTTTATCGTCTTTTTCAAATATATCCGTCGTTCCTGACAAGTTTCGTACAAAATGCAAGTTCATGAACGCGCATTTACACGAACAAGTTAATTTCTCTAACCCAGTGTGTTGTGCACACATAATTCGTTTTCATTAAATCGTGATAGATGCTTTGTGTGCAAGCGCTTCCCCAAACCTATAAATTATATGATTAACTAATTTACGCACTCAATTTCAGCGCCATACATTTTACAATGTGCGGTTATTTGCAGGACAATGTGCACGGGGAGTTGAGACAGCACCGCAAACAAACAATAACCGTGCTTACACCACATACACATACACACAATTATAAATAGTGGTGAGTATGGTTCAATGTGAAGCAAAACTAAATATCCGGACATAGTAATGTGTGTGTAAAAGGATTACAAAACTTTTAGTTGCACACAATGAACATATACATATATTGTATACACGCGCATACAGTGCTTTTAATTAATGCGCAGCAAATATGGTGAAACAACAAAGTGTGACAAATTCAACGGTATACGAGCTAGTAAGTTGTTTAGTTTGCGAACAGTGGCAGGACATGCAATGCAAACATTTTAACTGA